CAAGGATGACTCCAGCACAGAGGTTGGTGGACCACAGAGGAGGATGGAACCCAAGTCCTTGGTGACAGCAGCAACCAACCATGCCCAAGGGCCATGCTTGTCCTCTGGACTCCCTGTGATGTGAGATGATACCTTTCTTTACTGATTAGTGAGTTTGGGACCAAAGGCCTCCTAACTGATACATGGCAGAGCAGCCCAGATCGTCTGGACATTCTTGTTTAAGAAAATGCACCAAGCCTGCTGGAGGTGATCCCTTTGGAACATGACAGCACCGGGCTTCCTCCATGTAAGTCCTAAATATCTTTATGGTTTTACAGGATTTTTTTTTTCCCTTTTGTCTTTTTTCGTGACCGGTAACGGGATCGCAACCCTCAGTGTCGCACCCGCACCGTGACCGGCAACGGGATCGCAACCCTCGGTGTCGCTCCCGCACCGCGCTCAACCAGTGAGCGGACCGGTCTCTACATGGGATCCGAACCCTTGGCGGGAGCGCCTCCACGCTCCCAAGCAGCGCACTCTACCGAGTGCGCCACTGGGCTGGCCCTTACAGGAATTTTTAAACAGGGAACATTTTGCTTTTATAATGAAAGATAATTAAGTTTTCTTTTCTTTAAGTTGCGAGATTCTCTCCTGTTTCCCTCCAAACCAGTGGATCTCAACTTTTTCTGGGGAAGGGGCCACAAACCCCCTTGAGAAGCCAGATTCCCAGCAAATGCATGGGTGCAATTCCATACATGATTCCCGAGGGCTCAAAGACTTGAGGTCAAGAACTCTAAGCATGGGGCTCAAGGAGGCAGACACCCACATGCCGTCGAATTAGCTTTCATTTTTCCTTTTCATCTGGACTTTTTAAGCTCAAACACACCTTGGAGCACCTGTCAGGGGAAGAAACACCTTCCAAGGATGTAGAGTATCACCCAGGGAGCCCAGCTGCAGGGTGTGCCAGCTGCCTAGCCTCCTGTTCCAGGGCTCATCTTCCAGAAGCAACTCTGGGGTCCCAGAACTCTGGCCTCACTACGCTGCCCATCCAGCTGGGGGCTCACGAGGCCCCACATGGCTTCTACTGTTTTCCCCTCCAGACCTGAGGTCTTCCCCAGTGAGTGGAACTACTCCAGACCACTGACTGGGGGAAGGCTGAGGCATGAGAACACTCCCTCTTGGCCAAAGCTGTAGCTTCCTTTAGCTGAGTCCTCATTGCCTGCCTTCTGCCATCTGAGGCCATGCCAGTCACCACCATCGAGCAAGTCCTCAGTCTGGCCCTCTGCCTCTGGGAGGCTCACCCCAGGGCCCTCGCTGCTGCCTCCATCCAGGGCCTGGACCTCTCCACAGTCCAGCTCACTGCTCCTCCCCTGCTGTGTTCAGGGCCACCAGAACCCTCGGCCTTGAATGCAGCAGCCTGAGGCCACACTGCCCCCCTACCTCGCCCCCAGCATCCCACAGGGTCTGCTAAGTACATTGAGTGTCTGGTACAGGGGTGAGGGGTAGCTCTTTGGGGAGCTGCATCCCTCCCTGACAAGCACCAGCTCACTGTCAAAGGAGTCTGTTGAGCTTCTCAAGGGAAGAGACCCTTCTGGATCAATCCCTATGATCAAGTACCTGGCAGGTGCTTAGCAGAATGAATGAATGAACGAATGAACAAATGACTAGCTCATAGTCAGCAGGAAAGAAAGAGCTCATCATCATCTTCACATGGTGCCACAGGAGCAGACATCCGCTGTACGGGTGGTGTTGGCCATAGAATCCCAGAGCTGGGAGCACCGGGGAAGGAGTCACAGAGGCCTGCGCAGCCTCGGAACCAACAAGGCAGGGCAGTGACCACGGGTCAGGTTTCATCCCACAAGAGGTGGAGCACGATCTACACTCCAACAATACAGGCCTTCCAAGGAGCATCTAAGATTCAGGGCCAATGGTGCCCTCTGATCACCAATACTCAAGGGACACAGAAGCAGGAGAAGGCTCTAGAGGCTTGTTCCAGGAGGACTGTACAATGTGGGGGCCAAGTGCTGTGTGTGTGAGCGAATGTGGGAGTGAACATGCATGCAAGCACATGTGTAGGCATGTCTGAGTGCACAAACCCGGCTGTGCAGGGCCTCGAGGGTGTGCAGGGCTCCTAAAATGACCATCACAGACAGGCCTGCAGCCTCGAGCTCCCAAGACCCGATTCATGGATTATTAGGTCAATGGGCACATCTCTGGAGACCCACCAGCTCAGCCACACCATGAAATCACATGCGATGTAGCCCCATGCAAATGAAACCTCCCAAATTCAACAAATAAGTATCCGTATTCCTATTGACCAGTTGGACCAGGAGGTACCACAGGGCTCAGTGTATAGAGTCCCCTGGACCTTACAGGTTTAACATCAGGCACTTTTTAGCCAATGTTGCAAGGGAGAAGGGGGAAAGGACTCTTTTTCTGCATAACGAAGGCTTTAATAACTGTTCTGATCACTCAACTTCAAACTGCCATCATTCAAATTCTCATCAAATGTGACGGCGCTGTGGTAAGGAGGGTGGAGGGGGCTTTCCGGGGAGAGGGGATGAGGGGTAAGAAATGAGGAGAAAGAGAAAACTCCCTACAAAGCTAAAGCTGCCAGCAGCCGTGGAGTCTCCTCCAGCTCCCCCTACGTCGTAGTAAACATGCGTGCTGGCAAATCAAAGCAACCAGTGCTCAGACCGGTCTAAGGAACAGTTCCAAGTCACGGTGTCTTTCTGCCAGAGACCAGGGCCCCCAAACAGGGGGCCAGCCTGGGGCGGCCCCCCAGGAATTCAGACAAACCCTGGGTCCTCTTGCCCCACTCCTCAATTCCAAATAGTCAAATGTGCAAAATCCAGGGCAGGTGAGAGAATTTCAAATCTAAGGTGAATCGCTATTGACCGAAGCTACGATTAAGAAGAGTCAGAAGCTCCTGGCTTTCGCCAAGGGAAAAAAAGCACTTCGCATCCATTATTTCCCTCCAGCATTCCCGTCTTTAAAGTCAATTCACTCAAAAGACTAGGGTGCCCAATGCGCAGGTGCCTCACCTCTTCTCCCCCAGAAAACCTCCTGAAAAGAGCTCGCTTCACCTCTGGCAGATTCCCAGTCATCCAAGTCGACACCCCGACACCCCTTTCTCCGTCCCTCTGAGACACGAGGAGAAAAAGAAACTGAGGGTGGAGGGGGCGAGTAATGAGGAATTCCACCACCACCTCCCCTTTTTGGGTCTCAGTGGTGTCTTGGTGTTGCGGGAATCTGGCCTTGGCAGGGTGTCCATGACATCACCATTTCGGATTCTTAATAAAAAGACATCTTTCCAATAGCCAAATGCTCCTCTTCCCACCCTCTCTTTGGGGAATCGAAACACAGGCTTTTATTATGCTGCAGAAACATCACAGCTGCATTTAAGATGTTGCATTTGGGTCTTGCCTTTAAGTGGCTGCCCTTGTTACCTCCCTTTGAAAGGGGCCTCGGGATAAGTCCGGGGTAATTAAAATCTCCTGTCCAGCCTTGACTGCTCCGCCAGCTCGCGTTACAGCCGTGGACACACGCTGCAGAGTCAGTTTCTTCTGGGCCTTCTCACTGCTCTTTTAAAATCAGGCCACTATTCTCTTGGCTCGGGCTATCCAGTAACACGCTTGAAAATGGAGAGGGAACTTTCTCTGGCCAGGCTGATGGTGCCTCTGGCTTCCCACACTCATTAGAAAATTCTCTTTCTTCTACAACATACCATTTAGGAGCCAGGCTCGTTGGTGACAGTTCCTAAGGACACAAAGACAGAGCTGGCCTATTAGCTCAGCTGGTCAAAGCATGGCGTTATAACGCCAAGGTCAAGGGTTCAGATCCCCTTACTGGCCAGTCACAAAAGAAGAAAATAATAATACAAACAATGCCCACCCCAAGAAACCAACAAGCTCACAGGCTGGGAAAGATCTGTTTTTTCAAAACTTTGAAAATTCTTAAGCCAACCAAAAAATAAAATAATAATAATAATAATAATAATAAAATAAAAATAAAAGACCAGAGCATGTTTCGCAGTTTCTGTACGAATCTATCTAGCCCTGAACAAAAAGAATGGGTGTACTTGATACTGGTCTAATCAGGCTACCTGCTGCAAGGGGCTGACACCGGAATGTGAATCTAGAAACTGCTTAAAAGTCAAATTCTTGCGGGCAGTAAGTGCAGTCCTGGCAAGAAGGTGGGGGATTCTGTTGGGTTGTTTTTGTAGTTAGGTGGTGAATCCATCTGAATCAGGGTTGGGCTTTGGGAAGACTGATTCTCCTTCTGATGGGGGTGGGAATCATGCTGGCTTTGGATAAGTCTGAGATTCTGACCTTTCTAAATCCGAGGGCCTCCTTAGAAGAGTCTCCCCATCTCCAGAGCTAGTAATGCAAGACTGGGCAGCTCTTCTCACTTGCTATACTGGATTGAATAGTGTCCCCCCCAAATTCATGTCCACACGGAACCCGAGAATGTAACCTTATAGAAAACAGAGTCTTTGCAGACGTAGTAAATTAAATTGAAATGAGATCATACTGGATTAGGGTAGGTCCTAATTCCAATGACTGATGTGTATATAAGGCCATGAGTGGTGCTGGTAACACCAAGATCAAGGGTTCAGATCCCCATACTGACCAAATGTCAAAACAATGCGAAGACAGAGACACACACAGGGAGAACACCAGTTGACCAGTTGATGACAGAGGCAGAGATTGGAGACGTGCACCTGTAAGCCAAGAAATGTCAAGGATTGCCAGCAAGCACCAGGAGCTAGGGAAAGGCAAAGAGGGATCCTTCCCTAAAGCCTTTGGGGTGAGCACGGCCCTGTCCACACCTTGATTTCAGATGTCTAGCTTCCAGAACTGTGAAAGAATAAATTTCTGTTGTTTTAAGCTACCCAGTTTCTGTTATTTTGTTCCAGCAGGCCTCGGAAACTAACACACTCCCCCAGCAGTGGAGCTCACAAGTCCCTTCAACAGAACCCAGAAAGGCAAAACACAGTCCCAAGGAGACCCATAACTCACCAAGTGGCCAGAGCACCACTCCCCAGCTCGAGCTCAGGTTAAATCAACTTCAAAGAATAGATCAGACTTGGCAAAGTGAATTATTAAACCAAAAAAGGACAACACAAAGTTTGCACATCCACCGAAATTATGGCTATGTGGTCATCTAAAAGTTAGTGACTTAAATCTACTGGGCCTTCACCACAGGCCAAGTATTGAGCTAAATACTTCCCATACATTAATTTATTTAATCCCCACAATAACCCCACAAGGCAGGTCCTATTCTATTTCCAAATGACAGAAGAGGAAACAGAAGGCACAGAGCTTTTAAGTAACCTGCCCAAAGCAACCTTCCAGGTAGCAGGTTGCGGGGTCGGGATTTGAACCCTGGAGGCCTGGCTCTAGGTTCGTGCCACTCTCAGCCTCGAAAGACTGTTTCAGCAATGAGTAAAATTTGGAAAGTCATACAATGGAGAACAATCAGTGTGTTCTTTAGAATTTTTAACATGCTTATATTTTTTATTTATTTAGGCATAGACACCAAGGGAAACAGAAAAACAGGGAGAGAGACCGTACTTCAGTTAGGGGCGGAAGCATAGTAAGGACTGCCTGTATGGAAGTGGCCACATCTGACCATGCTCACAGAGTCAGAAGGGTTGAGAAGGGGCCGGCATGTGTGGGACTGACCTCCGGGCAGGCCCAGGCAGCAGAGGTGCCCAGGAGGGCCCACAGTGGGGTTTCCTTGCCTAGCCCTCAGCTTGTGGCTAAGGCAGCTGCAGATACAGTCAGTGCAAGAGTGGCCGTGGAGCAGGGCAGGGGCACTGCCAGCAAATCTGAGGAAAAGTGCGCATCACGTCTTCAACAGGATTTGGACATAACTTAAAAAAAAATTTAAAGGCAGCCTTCCCTGCTGGGAGGGGAGCACACGGCCTGCCCCAGCCTGAGCAAGGGCAGCAGCGTGCAAGTGGCCCCCTGAGCTGATGGGCTCGGGCAGAGAAGGACCCAGAGCCAGCTGGCCAGCAGGAGGACAGCTCGAGGTAAAGGAAGGCAGGTGGCCCAGGGGTGGCGGGGGAGCTGGTCTGACCTGGTGACCACGGGCATGTCAGGACCTCCAGATAAGATGGGTGTGTCCATCAACTGCTGTTATGGCTGAATGCTGGGCACCAGGGGTGGATGAGAACTGAAACTGGAGATGAATCGGAAGCGACAAGGCAGCACTATCTCCCAGACTGGGGAGTCCCTGAGCCGGGTGAGAGGAGGGAGGAGGAGAGTTCTCAGCTGCCTCCCGAGTGTAAGAAAACTGGGCAGAGGCACCCTGAATGGAGAACTAGCCAGCTCAACTGGGGACAGTGAAGCCGATAGAAGCTTAAGGGGGTCAGGGCCAAGGAATCCCTACTTTTATAGGGTATGGGGACCCTGACGGTGGGGCAGGGAGGGGAGAAATGGGGTGCAGGGCCTGGGAGAACTCCGGACACGGACACGTTCACTCTTCGCTCCGAGGAGGGGATCAAGAGGCTCAGGTCTGGACACCAGAGCAGTAGATTCCCCTGAACACAGTAATTGGTTAAGAGCCAGTAGTAAAGCTACCTTCTCCCCTTCCCCCCAAAAATGGTACACTAAGGCTTCTGTTGTGGCTGCTCTTTTCCACTGGACTTAGTAGAGCTGCTGTGGCACACTGCCACCATCGGAGATGAGCCACCTGAGAATGGGGACAACACAGGGAGGAAGGTGTCTTAAGGAAAAGAGAAACTAAGCATCAATGGTATCATCTGGGCTCCTAGATCCAGCCATACCTGAAGCCATCCTTGCTTTTTAGTTTCATGAGCCAAATCCGGTTTTGTTTACACCAATTTTGTTTGCAAGTGACAGAAAAACTAGCCTAGAATTCCGACCAACATCATCACTCAGGAGAAAGAAATACCATGCACAGCTGGACTGTCAGCTCCGTTGGGACCCCAGACCTTAGCTTGACCCCAGTCCAGTACCTGTTTCCTTACAGATGTCACCTTGCTTGGTCTCTCAAGACCCTCTGACTGTGTGGACCCCTTTATTTTTAATTTTTTTGTTTGCTTTGTTTTTTGGCAGCTGACGTTGGTGTTATAAGACTGTGCTCTAACCAGCTGAGCTAACGGGCCAGCCAAAGGCTTTATCTTTTTATTTAATTTAACTAATTTATTTTTGGTGGCCTGCAGGTATGGAGATCCGAACCCTTGACCTTGGTGTTATAACAGGCACTCTAACCAACTGAGCTATTCTGCACGGAAGAGTATTAATAAATACTCACAAATGTATCCTTCCAAAGATCGTTTTGCAGGAAAACAAAAGAAGCCCGAGTGATCACAAAACAACCTGAAGATGAAGGTCCCTCCCCAGGACGCCCTCCCTGAACCCCCGGGACTGGGAAGAGCTGATGGGACGCGGGAGCACCAGGGCTACGAAGGGCTTCACCCCAAGTCTCAAAGGCGCTCTGACAAGCCGTCGCCTCAGCGAATGCTTTTCCATCTCCGCCCAGTCGCATTCTGGGGCCCCAACGCTGCCTCCCCGAATGTCCCAACTAGACCCAGCAAATGCCGGAGAACAGTGCCTGGAAGCCGAGGACAAGTCAGGGTGTCAGGGAAGCGGAGGCTCCCAGGTGCCCACTCTGCGGACCTCTGCGCAGGGACTGGGGCCGGACTGGGCGACAGCCCAGCGTCACCCGAGGCTCCGGCCACCCAGCGCCCGCCACAGCGTCTTTAAATAGAACCTCCACGGCAAGGACAAACACATTCCAAGCGCTTTTAAAAACGCCCCCAGCGTGACCTGGCCTGCAGCCTCCGCTCCCCCACGCATTTTCCGGTCGCGGCCCAGTTCTGGAAATAATATTAATAGCTCGGGTAGGAGCTCACGGTGTGCAAAGTACGGTCTTAAAAGGCGGGGACAATTACTGCCCCCACTCTCCAGATGAGGAAACTGAGGCCCGGGGAGGTCCCGGGCGACAAGGCCGGCTAGCGGGCCTCCGAACGCCTGCCTCTTGCGCCGGGTGTTGGGGACGCGCCGGCAGCCCCCAGGTCGCCCTGGGTCGCCGCTTCCCCGCTCGTTGGGGCTGACAGAGCAGGACAGGAACGAGCCCCCGCCCGCCCGGTGCCAGTGGCCGAGTCCGGTTCCGACGGGCGCGTGGAACAGACGGGGCGACGCCCCCAGGAGGCGCCCGGCCGCGGCGGCCCCGCGGCGTCCTGAGTGTCAGCCGCGCTCCGCAGCCAGCTC